GTGATGCGCCAAAACCGTGATAGTTCGGATGGGAAAAAGTATTTTACCCATATAAAAATTATTTACATACGAAAACAAACAAACATGCTCCTGATTTGATACATTAATATATTCATCCACCAAAGAATACTACATTAATTACACACACATAATGTTTTGGAAAAAAAAAAAAACAGTTTGCTCAACAAAAACATTAGCTGGCTAATCCAATTTGATACACATTTAACAAAACCACAACTTTAAGCATTTCTAATTTTATAGCTTGATTTTTTAGAGAAAGCATAAGCATAACAATCAGTAGCCGATCCTTTGAACCACTAGGCTTGATATGGTGTTCAAGAAAAAATTACAAACACTGTTGTTATGCTACCTAGTTTAAATAATTTTCATTATTCAGAAACTAAAAAAAGAGGCACACTTCAAGATTACAAATAACCTCGAACATATCATTCTAGTTTAAAGGGTAATTATGAAGAACAAATGCAAAAAAAAAAAACATGATATAGATGTTGCCAATAAACTCAAGACTAACACAACAAATTAATTTTATTATTACAAATATATCACTCAACTTACAATAGCACTCAAGGAAATTTACTCTATCAGCTCACTTTTCTCTCACTCACGTACAACACACACAAGCACTTCACTCTTTTATTTTATTTTGATGATCACTCACAATCACAACACACACAACTCACACAACTCACTTGCTACATATATTTATAGTTGCCAAAGATGATTCTAGCATGTCGGTGGATAAACATCTAGGCTAGATTATTTTAATATTTCTTAAGTATTATGTGGCAAGATTAATTGATATGTAAACTTTTTCTCCGCTTATCTGGAAGCTTCTCAAAGTCGGTGGTTATATTTTTTACAATAGATGTAGGGATATATTATGTGCATGTGTGTATAGAAAAAATGATTACTACACAAATTGCTCTTTCACAATAGTGTGAAGAGTACGTTGGACAGAGCGTGTCATACCCTTGGCATCTCCACAGACATAAACATAATCACAATTGTCATACAAACAAAATCTAATAATTGACAATCTTCTAAGAATGAAATTTTATCAAATAGCGAAAAAAAAGGGTAATCGTTCAGATCGGCCATAGAGATGCTTGTAAAACATATATAGTCAAAAGATCATATATATGTTGGTACCTTTTAGAAGAATTCAAGAGCAAAGTATGAGAAGACCGTTCCCTCGTAAGAGAAATCGTCCCCTCTCTCGTAAACTCTCTCAAAATCTATGTGGAATTTATAATGGGATTTCATATACACACTTTCTCACTAGAATTTCTCTAAATCCCAAATAAACGACAAATCAAAAATTATTGAAAAGGAAATGAATATCTCTTGATATTATGGGTCCAAGTTACATATTTTTAGAAACTTTCAAAAAATCATTCAAAATATTAATTGAATACTTCAAAATTTTATAAAATCTTAAAAAGTCATTTAAATACACTCGAGTTTCATAAATTTTAAAAAAATCTTCAAAATCTTTATAATTCTGAAAGGAATAAACACAAAACAATTGAGTTTTATTTGTAGTTATCCGAAATAACAAAAAAAAAAAAATGTTATCTATACTTATATTAAAAGCCATACTATTTACCAAAATTAGTAGCCAAAAAAGTCAACTCACATTTAATGCATACTTTATTTAGAATTTTTTTACTACATGCATTAATTGCTTGCATATATACATTTCTTATTCAAATATGATCAAAAAGATTCTTTCCTTAAATAATTTTATTAACTTCTGCAATGATTTTACTGATATATATTATAATTCATATTTGTCGATAGTATTTTTTAATTTTTATTTGAGTATATAAAAAACAAATATTTTTTTTTAAATTAATATTTTATTTATCATTTAAGAGATAATAATCACATTATTAAATGATATTACTGATGACTAGATAATAAATTAAAATACATTAATTATTCTTT